GTTGGGACATTTCGGTGGGATAAGGTTTACAGTTACGGAATTTCCGTCTGAACCCTTCTTCGGTTAAGTCAAAACTCCTTAATAATGCATATTTAAGACCATCAAAATCATTTATTTTCTCTGCTGGCAGACGTGAATATACACTCAAAGCCTTACCTTTTAAAAGTGAACCTAAATTTACGGCCCATACCGACTTATCCCATCCTTGTGCGGTTGCAAATCTTTCGAATCTGTTTAAGTAGGCATCCATGTCATCATATTTGTCATCAAAAGGCGGAAGTTTTATATACGGTTTACGTGTATTTTCGGACCCTTCGTGAATACGAGTACTCGTTAAACTGGTATCTGCAGTTTCTTTTTTCATTTTAGCAACTTCGAATTCTGCATCGCATAATGATTTTCTTAGTTGTATTTCTTTTAACGCCAAATCTCTACTTTCTTTTTCACGCAAAAACGCTTTTTCAGACTCTGCAATTTCTAAATCACGTCTTTCTTTCTCAATTTGTAACTCATACTCACGATTCAATTTCTCTTGATTCAATTTCTCTTGTTCTCGTCTCTCTTTCTCTCTCTCCAACTCAAACTCTTTCTCCCTCTCTCTCTGTCTCTCAAGATTAAACCTTTCCTCTTTAACAAATTCTTGTAAAGCCTCCCCTTTCAAACCAAAATCTTTACCTATCTTAGTTATCTTTTCTAAATCCATACTGACCCAAAAATCTTATCCAAAACCTGATCCTACACAGTCTAAAATAATAAACTTATGTTATTTGTCCGTCAGTGTCTCAGTAATTGTGTTAGTATACATATACAAAGCATGCACATTTCAATATACATTACTAATGAATATACCATAAAATTAAAATTAAATAGGCCTCTATTTCAAAAACTAATCTTAAAGAGCTATATATACTATATCATACCAAATACAATATCATTTAACTTTCTTAAATACATGTATCCCTAAATGTTTTACAGTGCACTTTCATAATGTTATTGGCAATTCGGAAAAGGGTTCATTATATATATAAGCAATGGCAAGCTCGCCAAAATGTCACAAAGTGACCTCAGGTTCTTTAACTTACTTGCCCCCTTTTCCAAATTTCCAACAAACAACACAACTAATTAATTTATTTTAAATATGTATATTGTACAATCAATTTACATATACAATTTAAGAGGTTTTTACAAAATTAAATGCTTTAAAGTTACAGTTCATTCCGGCATTTAATACTCTGTTGCTTTAATTCAATCAATCCTCCTGGTTAGCATTCAGATTAATTCTCCGTCTTAATTCCACCATCCCAATCGCGTAAGTTGGTTTTTTAAAACATTTTAAGCCCGAACACAAATTCTCGGAAAACACAAAACCTTCACATGCCACAGATCTATTTCTCGTATTCACCTAGACTCACTAATTGTATTAAAACTTCACCAAGATTGAAATGTACTTCACCAAGACTACATGCGTACGATTCACAAAGTTCACCAAGATTAAACTACAATATGATTCACAAGGTTACCCCTGGGTTGAAATATGATTTATATCGATCACCTAGACATTACCGGTTAAATGTTATTTCATCAAGGAACGGATTCATCACACTTAAATACATCGTATTTAATTACCAGGTTCTAAGCATCTAAAGCCAGTCATTGGTGTTACTGTAGATACTGAAAAACAGTCATGTCTGGTCCTTTAAAATCTCTCTGATCTAAGTAGAGAAAACAGCCATGTCTATCCTGTAACTTAATTTAAACCTCTCTGACAAACTTTTCTAATTCCTACACCAAGAAACTTTTAGTCACTCAAACATCCAATCAGAATTATGCACCACCTGCACATGCATCACAATCCAGACACATTCATTACTTTACACCCTCATTACCTAACTTGCTCAGACATACCAACAATCGTTCTGTAAAAACAACGCATATACATTGAAAATAATTAAACTTTATTAACCAAAACCTGTACAACCCTTTATACATGTCTTTAAAAGAAATAAATATTCCCTTTAGCCATGTACCAAATTAATTAGGTACCCTAAATCACAGAAATAAACCATGTCACAATTATACATAGCAAATTAACATACCAATTGTGACATACATTATATCATACAATAGCACATCAAGACACAATAACATAACAATACATGAACATAACAATTGACTTTTAATATATATAATCATCTAAAGTTGATTGTTTTTGCTTCTGGTTTAAATATCGTAAATCGGAGTCCTGCACTCAGTCTTCTAATGATCGAATGCTATCACTCAACCCAACGTCTTTAATTTGAGCGAATGTTTTCAAATCGTGTAATATGTGTAGACATTTGGCATACTTTAAATCTGTTGACACTGCATCTTCTTCATCTTCAATTGAAGTTACACTTATCTTCGAAGCCACACGTTCATTAATAATTTGCCATTCTATATCCGTATCTTCGTCACATTCCGTCGGAATACCATTGTCGAAATTGATCAAATCTCCTTCTGTTGTGTTTGAAGACGGTACCAAGGATTTGATTAGTTTTGTAAGCGGTATATCGTCATCTTTGCTGTCAGAAGATACACCAACCCGAATAAATAGCACTTCGTTCGTTCTTGGTGTTTAACGTCTGCTTCCACATAAGTGATATCGCAGACAAGACATAGGAGAGCCGAAGCTGATTCCTGTTTTTTAGAATATGATTTTGCAATCTTTCCATTTGGCCTTAGGCCATGGATTTGGTTTAGTGGGAAGTTCTTCCCTTTATTTAATATAAAACATATCGTTTGGTAGATGATTACGTCTGCTTCTGGATTGGTAGATGTCATCGTTTTAGTGTTTAGGTGGAGACCCGTCTTATCGTGGCCTCCCCTTACTCCACTATCCCACTCTCTGGGTTTGGTATCAGTTTTATTTGCGGAATACTGTTTAGGTGCCGAGTTCGTCTGACCGTAACTCCCCCTTACTCCACTATCCTGCTAGTTTGGTAGATGTCATCTTTGTGGGGTTTGTGTTTAGGTGCCAGGCCCGTCTTATCATGACCTCCCCTTACTCCACTATCCCATTCTGTAGGTTTGGTGTCTGTTTTTGGTGGAATAGTGTTTAGATGCCGAGTCCGTCTGATCGTGACTCCCCCGTACTCCACTATCCTGCCAGTTTGGTATAAGTCCCCTATGTAGTTTAGTGTTTAGATGCCGGGCCCGTCTAACCGTGACCCCCTCTTACTTCACTATTCTACTTAGTCCAACTGTGTGCATTAGGGCGTGGATTTGTTCGAAGATTTGCAGTTTCAGATCTGGTCTCGGGAAGAGTAGGTTCTTAGTGTTGAATGGTATGTTGTTGGTCTCCATTGTTCTCACCAGTTCCCTTCTCTCCTCCTCGTATACCTCGCAGTCTACCAGGACATGGTTGGTGGTACATTCTTCTCCGCACTCACAGATGATGACTTGGTGTTTGTAGTCTCGCAGCCGCTCTTTTACCCTTAGCTTCGATATAAGTCTACAAATATCTCTTCTAGGGTGATTGAGTGTTGTCTTTGTGTAGATCTTGTCATCCAGCCGGAATCTGTATGTGTCAAGTTCAACGAGATTTAATTCTCAGATTGAATTGACCTGTCTTTTGACCATACTGTAGATTTCCGTGGTGCTGTAGTCAATGGTGCGGAGTGGTGCTGTGTCCTTGAGACCTTCATTGGCGAGTCGATCTGCCTCCTCGTTTCCTCTTATGTTGACATGTGATGGAATCCACACGAGTTCTACTTTGCTTCCCTTCTCTATAACCCTCTGGTACAGCTGCCTGATTTCCAAAATGACTTCTGGTCTTGAGTCCGAGTTGTCATTTTGGATTGAAATCAGACTGCTCAGAGAGTCGCTTGGAATGAGGAACTTACAAGTCTTTTGATGGGAAATCCATGATATAGCTTCATGAATGGCCACACCGAACAGTTATTGGGCAGTTTCCTGCTTATTCCCTGTTTCCCGTTTGGCAGGTATATTCCAAACGAGCTGGTGCCCCTTTCAGGATTGCGTGAGCCATCCATGTACACATGGTCCCAGTCATCAGTCGGCCAGTTGTCTTCCAGGTGTTCTAGAGAGAAAGCACGTGCAGCAGTGGGGTTGTTTTTCTTGTCAATTTTCTGTAGTAGATCTAGATTAACCGGTGGTATAGGGAGCGTCCAAGGGGGGTCGTGTTCATTTATCACGAGCTCCCCCAGTTGCAGTTCCTTGATTGTTTCCCTGATACCCTGGCCGAAGCTTTTCTTTCTAGGATCTCTTACATATCTTGTCTTTTGTAGACTGACAAAAGTAGGGGATCTTTCGCCCAGTTGCGAGATCTTGGCCCAATACCTTGTAGCACTTGTCATCCAAGCCCTTAAATCAACAAAGACTGACACATGTTTAAGTATGCTCACAGATGATTGATTTGTGATTGCTTGTTAGTTAACACCTACTGATTGAAGGCCAGATTATTCAATGTTAATTGAACGCAAATCGTGTGACGGGACCGCTGATTGATGTCTTAATTAGGAATATTCAGAATACAGACTACTCAAAACTTTTTTGATTGAATAAGGAAATAAATTGGGACATGAAAATGATGACGGATATCACAGAATGCTAGCATGTTAGCACAAAGAAAAAAAGAAGCCAATCAAATTTTAATTACTTCATGTATTCATGTTTGGTGCTGGGGAGGGAGGAGTGGGTTAGCATCTGTTTAATATAAAGGACCTATGAGCACTCCTTGTGGAAATGGCACACTATATTAAAATTCTAAATAATAATAATTACTTCACAGGTTTTTACTCTTGATCAGTTTTTAGCGTCCTGTAAATGCTCTCATTACCAACAAAAGAATGAATATGGAACAACATTTGTGAACTGCTCAGATGAATCATCTACTAGATATATCACTTTTAAATGTTTTGAAAAACAACATAACCGGTAATCTATGACCTAATCCTTATTTCAATTCTTCAACCTCTGTACAAAATTTTATATCATTTTAGATTCGACAATGTACACTATGAAGATATTAGAACAAATAGAATCCAGTGCATCATCATCATCAGACTCACCTAGAACTACTTTTAATGCTTATACTGGTGGTATGAATGCTGAATTAGCCAAGTCTTTTACTACTAAACCTAGTCAGTTTTCCTATACAGCTAGTGATGCTATATTATATGCTTTAGGAGGTAAGTTTCATCATATTTTGTGAAATTACATCTAAACCATTGTAGTCTTCCCAAATTTATATAAAACAGAAATTGCATTTTTGAAAGATCACCTGGAGAAACAATCTGATTAAAATACAGATCTATATTTCGTTTCGTATCTTTTATACTCGATGGCCTACTCAAAGGTACTCAAAGGTCGTGTCAGGGGTCGTACAAGCAACTGTTGACCCTATGACGTCAGACATTGATTAATCAATCAGCGTTGGTGTTTCTAGTGGTTTACACACAGTTCTGTGCATGGCACACCAAGAAGTTGCCGTAACAGACTGTTTCATTGGCTTATCCCTCAATTCAACCAAAATTCCGGTAATATAACAAATCTTCCAGATCCTAGTGTTGTAAAGACAAGTAAAACGAAATTTTGAACTATAAAAAACGAAACGAAATAGGATCTGTCTTTTAATCAGATTTCCCGAAGAAAATATTAAACAACAAATAGAGTTTTAAATTTTGGTTATTGACAACTAATGTTTAATTGTAATACACATACAATAACCATATTAATTACATAACCCACATTAGAGGTTTGATCTTCTTTCATTGAAAATCTTGAATAATTTATAAGATCTATTCCATTTAAATAATTGTATAGCCAGTCCCTTTAGAAGATAGCTATATTTGTTAATTTGCACTAGAAAATCATTTTAAAAATTCTTTCATACATTAGACGGAGAATAGAGTTGTTGTAACGGTATAGTTAAATTGGGTATTTTTTGTCTTTATGTATCTATGTATACTGTACATGTATGTCTAAGCCAAACTGCATTTGCTAGTCAGCGATGTTTTCCATAAGGGAGAAATTAGTTTTCTGTAATTGGATTTCTTTTTATGTATGCACTTTCAGTGGGTATGTCAACAAAAGAAGAGAATTATTTAAAGTTTTTATATGAAGGAGCTGATGATTTTAGTATTTTACCTACATATATTGTTATACCATCTATGGGTAGTTTAACTGATAATTTAATGGAAGGTATACCAGGTGTAGATGCTCCTCTAGCCAATGTAAGAGATAGCTATATTAATTTTAGGCTTATATAGAAAGATTTTTATCTAACAGTTCTTCATGAATTGTATAATATATATTTTATACGTTGTGTTTTATACAGTATTGTTTAAGACGAGCAGGATTTTAGCCCTAGAATTCCTTGAATCTTGAATAAGAATATCAGTCCAAAAATGGTTCCATTCCATTTTGCATTTATAACAAGCCTCCGCTGTGAACAAAATTGATGGGCCTGTTTTAAATCCAATAGGATCCAAGCCAAGAGATTATCTGTTGCTGGTATATTGACTTTGTTTGCTTTATTAAATGTTAAATAATTATTCTGAGTACATACTAACGTCGGTTAAGCTGTGAGAAATTTTTGTATTTTCTGAAAAATGCAAATCAAAAAAATGATATTTATATTTTGTTAGATTTTTAAAAAACAATAAGGGTGATATTTGTTTTTTAAAAAGTTATTTTTATTAAAGATATAAGTTTGAATTTTCTCTATATCAATTTCTTGATGTAATTTGGATACTTTCTACACACATTTTATATTTAGCGTATATGGATATAGAATTATAATAATGTGGAATGTTGCTATGTTAGTTTATTTTGTCTGTGTTTTAGGTATTACATGGAGAACAATATTGTGAAGTATATAAACCATTCCAGCCATCTGCTACATTGACATCTAAAGTTCAAGTATTAGATATATTAGATAAGCGTTCTGGAGCTGTTATTATATATAATGGTAAGTATTTTACATAAAAGATGATTATTCTATATGTTTATTTAATCATGTACAGAAATTTAATATGTCATTTCATGGCATTCACAAAAGGGCAGATCATCATTAAGGTCACACAAAAAAAATATTCTGGTTCTCAGACAATCATTTTTTTGTTTTTATTTTGTCTAAATTCTAGATATTTTTTCATCGCTTGGATGGTATGAAAAACAGAGGTCCCCGTTCTCTCCCTTTGTCCGTGGTTCTTGACCGAAGGCCCGATAACTAACTTTGCGTGCAGTTTTTTGGGTAGGACGAAAAATCGAAATCCTGTGTGCATATTGGCGTGCACGAAAAATAACCCTTGGAATTTTATGCACCCACCCCACCCTCGAACAACGCTTAACATAACATTTTGTTTTCACTACCTACATTGTAAAATTTGTTTGATTTCAGTAGTCAAATGACTACAAAAAGGTTACTGGCCTATGTATAGCTCCCTTAATTTACACATAAACTGACCTAAAACTGCACTGCACATATAATAAACCAATTCCCATTGAAATAAAGGTGAAGCCGTACCGCATAATTATATGATTTGATGAAACCCAACTGTTACCTGAAGTTTCTCGCCTATCGAAGTTATAATATCCGCCGGTGTCATGGCGGCTCGCACATTATAAGAATCATTGCTTTGAAAATGTAGAATGCATTAACACAAAGAAGAAATTAATGGGTATCTTCACTATAATTTGTGATAGAATTACTTATTTAAAAAAAACTGAATGATGTAAAAATAAAAATGGTTGTAGTGCCCAGGTTTAGATTTGTCGTTGATTTTATAAAGATGTTAGGATATAGAACGTTAAATACTGTGTGATTCAACATGGCGGCCGAGGGGTTTAATATGATATAAGTACGAAATACATGTACATGTAGTACCAAATGGTTTATATGTATGAGAGTCAAGGTTTGGACTAAATGTCTTGGGGAAGTAGGAGGCGACTAGTATGTGCCTCTCTTTAGTAGACCGATGTGAGATTGCCCATTGTATTAACTGGACGGGTAGGCCTATTCACCTTCAGTTATGTGTCAATGTCAAATAAGCGGCTTCTTATCAACACGGTCGGCTCTGGGCCGGTTTAATTCTACGTATCTCTCGTAGCTGAGAGAAAAAAGATTTTTTAGCCGAGAGAATATCTTCCGTCAAAGTGGTTGTTGATTCATAGATTCTAATAATCCCTTTTGCAGTTTATATGAAAGCTTTGATATCTGCTATGCAGATCTAGTTATTATTATTATTTTTATCCTGGGAACCTATTTCTCAGTGCCTGTAACAGATATCAATCTGGGACCTAATGTTCTGTTCGGAAACCATGTAGTGGTTGCTCCATAAACTATTTTTGAACCTTTTGCGCAGACCGCAAGTGGCTGAATTTTGAACGGTAGCCAAAAATTAAAAATCGGCCATTGTTTCTTCAATTCTTTACCTATTTTCAAACAAATGACATTTTGGGGGAAACCCTGAATCTTTTCCAAGACAATGGCTATCTCACATTTTTCAAATTTCGAACATTCGTCCATGACTTCTATCGTTTACGACACAATTTTTGTTATTTTTCAAAATTTTCAAATTTGACCTGCATTTATGAATAAGCCTACCTGTAGTCCGCCCGATTCCAGTAATATAAGTTACATTCAGAGTTATCATCCTTTATTTTTCGAATGTTTTCGAATTTACTACCCATTTTCTAACTATTGTTTTTTTTAAAGCCTCAATCGATGTTTCTTAAAAATCTGGATCATGAAGTCGTGCTCTCAAATGATCCCGACAAGGATCCAAAAACCGGAAGTAGTCGAAAAATTGTCTGATATTTTGAAAAAAAAGTGTTTTCTCTATCCGATATCAGTGGATTAAAAAAATTAAGGTACGATTTGGTGGCTCGAATGTACTACCATATGAATTACAATTGCCACAGATCTGATGCTATGGAAGACAAATATGCTATGCCAAATATCAAGTATTTTCCGATTTGGGGTCTTTTTAGATGTCTTTATCTCAAAAACTATTCTTGCGATTTTTTTTTAAATCTTCTCTCTGGGGAGTCCTTTCAGAGGTATTGTGCATGAAGCAGTCCAATACAACGGCGATATCACTGGGATTGGACGAAAATAATACTGGAAATTTTAAAAAAGTCAAAAAAATCGTTAAATTTGGGAAAATGCTCAGTTATTTCTTAAGTTTTACACATTTTCAAAAAAAGGTTACATATTGAGATAGTTGACCTAATTATAATTCTAACGATGTATAATATGTATTGAATTATTGAAATTTAATTTCCAATATTTTGACATTTTTGTATTTTTACTAATTTTTAGCATCTTTGAACATACCATATCTCAGGGAGATTTTATCTGATCAGATAATGCAATATGTCATTATAGAGCCATGGTACAATTCAAGTGCCAAATTGGTTGTTAAACTATCCCGACAATGATTTCCATACCGGAAGTATTCAAAAAATGGAAAAAAAAAAGAAGATTAAACAATTGGCACTCTTGCGAAAAAATACGATTTCTCTGTCAGATGCCACAGAATCAAAACAACTAAAGTGTCGTTGAATAATCCAATGGCTGGACTATCATATGGCATCTAAGTGATACGAATTCAATAGTTAGGAAATAAATTATGGTACGCCGAAAATCTAGTATTTTCCAATTTGGAGCCTTTTGAGAATCTTTTATTCGAAAACTACGACTATTTTTTTTCTTAAACTTCTGTTACTCAGAGTCCTATCTGTGGTCTAGGACGTTCATCCAAATGTAAAATCCTCTAAATGAAATAAGTAGTTGAAAAAGGGTCTCAGTCTTTGAAAAAAGTTGAAAAATCGTCAGATTACTGAAAATGATCTTCTATTTTTATATTTTTTCACAACTGCGCAATGGATGTTTCTGAAACTTCTGGTACAGGATGTTAAGTGCCAACGCCACATGTTAAATCTATCCCGACAATGATCCGTAAACCAGAGGGAGTCAAAAACATATCCAATATTTTGAATAAAAAATCCAAAAAAACATGATATTACCAGCTAAAATATTGTTGGATAACCTGGTGAATGGACTCGGGCATGAATCTTTCGGGTCTATTTCCTGATGAAAGCCGGTTCAGCACTATCATGCAGGTCTAGTTAAATTTGGTATTGGATCATAGAAAATTCAACCCCCATTTAAAAAATTGATCGTCCTGCCAGATAATGTTTTTGTCTTCTTTTAGTTGATACATTTGATGAGAACAATGAAAAAGTTGCTTTCTGTCAATTTGCTATATTTGTGGTTGGTAAGGGTAATTTTGGTGGAGTAAGGACATGTGAGGGTATTAAACAACCTATTGAGGCACCAAAACGTCAACCAGATTCATCCATTAAAGAAAGCACTTCAATAGACCAGGTATGTACTCTGGTTGTCTTTTTTAAAAAAAAAAAACCCAAAAAAAACCAAACAGGCCTATTATAATTAAAGTATACATATATATTCTGAGCTACTTTATTATATCAGATATTGCTAATAATTTTTTTTTTTCAGGCAGCATTATACAGATTAAGTGGAGATCGTAACCCTCTTCATATTGATCCAAATTTTGCTGCAATGGCTGGTTAGTATATAATAATGTACATACATGTACTGTCTTATCAGCTTGTTAAGTATGTGAGGCGCGAGCAGGTGATCATAAATATTCACATAAATCAGTCGAGCCTTTATAACTTTTCCTATTCTAGGCTATAAAATTTCACACAAGCGCTTATTCAGGTAATGCTGTGGTTACACAAACATCCATCTATTCATACAGAATATTTTGATATAATGAAGAACAAACCAAACGGAAACAAATTTCATTGAATATAAGTTCGTTTTTTTATTCTCTTTCCATATAATGAAGAACAAACCAAACGTAAACAAATTTCAATGAATATAAGTTTGTTTGTATTCTCTTTTGAGTATTATGTCCCTTTATTTATTTTTGCTAGCTTCATTCATTAAACTGGAGACATGGGTTTTTTTTTTCCACATCCTTGATTTAAGTGAGCAATCTGTGCCTGCATTCTTAGTACCAGTAATAGAGTATCAACACTTGGAATTTTGATTGAAACGTGGTGACATCTTACATCAAAAAATTACTTTTGTACTGAGAGACAAGCAATATATGAAAATTTTCCAGCAAGAAAGTTAGACCACGAAAATTTATGAAAAATTTTCTATTTATTTTGCTGGAACATTCCTAGTTTATCCTATCATCTTGTAAGATGTGGTGATAGTGTATTCTACAAGATTTTATTCTGTGGCATTTTTCATCACATATAACCCATGATAGACGCAGGGAGATAAGGGAGTCTGAGAAGATATTTTTGTAAAAATTGAATTATTTTCTAAGTCAAATATCTTGTGGAACTCTTGTGGGAAAAAACACAGACCGAAAATACATTCCATAGACTCAAAATTTTAATCAGATTTATTTTAGTCGAACTTCTGGAACTCTTGTGGTGAAAGTTTCTGTCATAATATGTATATTATTACTCATAGTATAATGAGTTACTCGGGTGGTATATTATTACTCATAGTATAATGAGTTACTCGGGTGGTAATTAATCTGTTTAACATGTGACCTCATGTCCACTTATCTTGTATATCTCACTCTTCGGGGAGACACGCTTCGATCAACATCTTATTGTAAGACTTGCGTGATTCGTTAATAAACATTAAACTTATATGAGTTGTTAATGAGTTTCACAAGTATGAAGAAGCATAACAGTTTCCACACAAAAGCTGCCTAACCTTGCCATAAATGTGCATAACTCAAGTTCGATGGAACAGAACACTGGGTTATGCAAACTGTAAAATTGTATTTTCAGGGGAGCGAAAAATCATTCATGTATCATAGCTACTGACATAAATAATGGAAAATATATATATAAAAAATTCCATTCAAATTACTTGTCAGCTGAGACAATCTCGATAACAGGGTATATGATAAGGAAAAATAATTGATTAGCAATTATTGGATGTTTTAAAAAAAAGTGCTAATGAGTCTGAAAATTGATTAACAGTTCATCTTGACTGAATAGCAAATAAGTAACTTTTCACTGTGTTGTATTGAATGATCTATAAAGGCCGTATTATCTACCAGTATATAAAACTAAATAATTGTTATTTATTTTTATGCTTTGTAAATATGGTTCTGAAATTGTGTGTTGACAAATATTCTTGGACTTTTCACTTTTAGAGCAGTCCCCGTAAATCCGATACAAAAGGCGCTACTGAAGTTTCTTATATGATTTAGTCTACTTTCATATTTAATACAGAATCAGCATTGTACTCTGCTTCTAATGCCGGGCCCATCAAGATTATAATCAAGTCAACGATCATCGGGATCTTATTTACGTTTCCATTCTTTTACCATCAAAATTTAGCAGACGATGCTATCTTTACTCAACAGCGTGTTACGATCATCCAGTAATAACTAATCACTACTAATGGAGTACAAAAAAAGTTAACATGGTCAATCACAACTATCTATAATAATAAAGAGTTGCACCCATTTCATAAATGTTCAACCAGGCGCTGTGGAACACTAAATCGTGTTTGTTAAACATTTTTTTCACATTTGATTTTCAATAAGAAACGATTCACAAATTCCCTGAAAAAAATATTTGATTTGTTTAGCAAACTGCGATGCGATACCGCTTATCATATATCCTGCTTGATAATCTATTTTATCGTTAAATTTTTAAATCTTGCAGTGTTCAAATAACATTTGAAGCCAAAATAAAGATCTGCAATAGGCAGATTTAGTTTTTACATAATGCATCTTTAAAGCTGAATGAAGAGAAAAGCAGTGCTAGTTTTGGTCTTTTTCTCTAATACCAAATATGGGTCTATGTTCATAGACAATTAGAGTATTCAATGATTGTTGAGAAACATTTAACCGTTATACTGGAAGAAAATCATTTTTGAACCAACTTCTTTGGATTATTTCCCCAAGGGAATTTGATTTTTCAGCTGAATATTTCTTTTAATAGTAAGGCAGTGTTTAATATGTAAAGTATTATTTTTCTCTAGGATTTAAAACACCTATCTTACATGGTTTATGTAGTTTTGGGTTTGCTGTACGTCATGTCTTACGTCAGTATGCTAACAATGATGTGTCTCTGTTTAAAGCTGTCAAGGTAATTATACATTTTGAAATAAGATAATCGATGTTATGTGCATTTATAGCAATCTCAACCCCATCCAAAATTTAAGAAAGATTGTTAGACAGAGAGAGAGAGCATTTTGGGACTAACATGTGGTACGATTTTATGAGATTACTATTATCCTCATTATTTCACATATGGACTAAGGGTATTAGAGTAATATTTGTTTTACACACTGACTTCAATGTTAAATCTATCCTAATTGATTTCACCTATAAGACCATGGTTTATTCCATATCGGCCCTGCGCCTTATATGGCAAAATTAAGAAAACAAGTTTAAGTTGCACGTGCATTACATTTTAGTAACCACATGTTCACAAACTGGCATTCATTTTGTACAATGTTGTCAAACGATTCGGACGACAAACTGATCCGAGCAAGTCAGGTTGATGAAAAAGAAAACGAAGATCCTGACAAAGAATTATTTAAAGCTAGTCAAAGTGCAGAATTTATGCAGAAAATATTTAACAAGGATTTAATGTACTCAGATATTTCGGATTGTGAGAAAGATAGAAATGTTAAACGCTTATCAATTTCGAGTGACAAAAATATGTCAGTGAATGTGCCATCAATGATGTGCCCATAAAAAAACATACGCAGGAATCAGTGGGCTGTGAACTTTTTTAACAGTTGGTCAGTGTGGCAGAATAATAAACACGATAGTGAGCAAAAAATTCTGTGTGTGCTGGAAGATATGAGTATTTAAGATCTTATTTTTGGGATGTCTAGATTCGCCATGGAATTAAGCAAAATAAAATGATGAATATTACCCACTGAAATCCGTATTTAGTTATGGGAATAGTTTCACATTTACGGATTGCTAATACAAATGTTTTGGATATACTACACAATCCAGAATTGGAGAGTTTTAGACAAGTTCTTGATGGTCAGATGAAGAAGCTAAGTAACATGGGCCTGTCATAGTTCGTCATCTGAATCGTTTGACAACATTGAACAATAGTGAATAAAATGTTAAATGAAAGAATTTGTGCAGGTGATATCAGATATCACCCTCTGATGACATCACCACTGACTGAAACGTTTCATAACATTCATGGAGATCAAAGGAAATAACAACCCAAGGTGTGTAATAAGCGCCATTGGTATAAAATAATCAAAAGGGCACATATTAGTCCACTTAACCATCCAACTCCTTCTAAAATGATTTGTTAATAAGTGTCAAAAAAACAAATTAATATTCTATAGTAATAGAATTATCCTAATATTGATTCAATTATCAATTTGTTGGTGCCAAGTAACTTTGATAATATGTTTATACATGTACAGGTAAAGTTTGTTTTTAAAACTTGGCTTTGGAGTTTAGCAACGATACTATCAAATTTAGCTTAAGAGATACTTTAAGGAAGTTTTGATAGTGTCATGTGCTGTGGGAGCCACTGTGGCTCAGTAAGTAAGACGTTGACTTGCTAACCTGGAGGTCCCTTGTTCGATCACGATGTTAGTGATTTTCCGTCGTGATTCCCACTTGTCATTCGTGTAGGACCAAGGGCCTTGCAAGGGACCATGTATTGTGTACACAATGGTCCTGTGCACACAACGTTGTGCACATTTGCTCTCTGGACAAAATTTCCCTCTTAGCTCACTGCATGTTATATAGCCCAGTAGGATGTTAAGCACCATTTCATTTCATTTCGCCATATACTGTCATGTGGAAATATACTACATTGAAATGTTACATATTGTTTTTAAAGATGGCATTCAGATCACGTGTACACATAGACTAAATCAAGCCAAACATATAAAAGTGGATCAGATGTGTTTTTGGTTATAGTATGACTGTTTGAATATTTACAAAAACTGGCATAACACTACTTAAGTTTGATTGTAGGCTAGTTAGTTAACAATGTAGTGTAAACAACAAAAACAAAAAAGATAAATGAAACCAAATTTTTAATAGGTTCTATATTGTTGTCGCCCCCGGCCGGCCGGCGTCCACAATTGCTTGTGGATGCGCTAGAGGCTAAAGTTAATATCCAATTGACTTCAGATTGATACACAGAGTTTAAGATCTTGAGACGAACAAGTATATTGATTTTCAATGAATATTTATGACTTGAACAGCTAAATCCATGATTTATGAAAACCAAACAAATTCTAATGGTTTTCTGATAATTACTTCATGAGTTGTTACTCTTAATCAGATTTTTTTTAGTGTATTATAAATGTTTCATTACCGAAATAAGTAAAAATATGCGACAACACTTGTTGACTACCCGGACAATTAAGCTGTTGTGGGCATATGTTTCGTTGCCTGGCAAACTATCTTTTATCCGCATTTGTCATGAGTATACTTTAGCCATTGAAACCTATATATTTCCAAAGCTAATTTACAAAACTGTTCAAGTTAATTAATCACAAAACAAATAGAGCTAGACATTTCATTATCAAAAACAAATGCTGCTCAGGTTTACAAGTTTCAAACATCTGGTTTGTCTTACAAAGGCCCCATCTTCATTAGTCCAGTTGGAGTAGGATGTTAATCCCTATTTCATTTCATTTCATTTTTTACAAGGACTTTCATAGTATTCTGCATAATATATTTAATTTGTGATACATTCAAACAAGCTTATATTTTTTATCAATATCTGCAATACTTTGATGTTTTACAAATATGTGATATCTATAGAATATATGAAACAAAAACACTTTGTAATGGTAGTTAAATTTATCAAGTGTAAACAATCATGTTTTTATACATTGTTATTTATTATTCATTTCAATTCATTTCACATCATTCGGTACGAAACACATATTGTTTTCAAAAGAGTTTTTTTCTTATATTTTATTAGGTGTTTTTTGCTGATTTTAGTCAGAAGTTGCAGCCAAAACTGTGCATGGTGCAAATATTCCGCTAACATAGAAATTGTTGGCCTCTGCGGAACTATTTATTAAATATTAATTGGGTCATGTTTGACAAACGAGAAGTGTTTTACAGATGAGACAAAAAATAAATCTTAGATCGCCCGTATGTCGATTTTTTTGGCAACGGATCTTCGTTGGGTTTTCATTTTTATACGGCCACATTGAAATATGGTTGTATATTGTTGTCGCCCCCATCAGTCCGCCCGGCGTCCACAAATGCTTGTGGGCCCTCTAGAGGCTAAAGTTAATATCCGATTGATGTTAAATTCATACACAGTGTTTAAGGTCATGAGACGAAGAAGCCTATTGATTTTCAGCGATTTCTGATAATTACTGCCAGAGTTATGGCCCTTGATCACTTCAAGATATCTTATGGACGCTCTAGAGGCCAAAGTTAATATCCGATTGACTTTAAATTAATACACAGTGTTTAAGGTCACGAGACGAAGAAGCCTATTGATTTTCTGCGATTTCTGATAATTACTGCCAGAGTTATGGCCCTTGATCACTTCAAGATATCTTATGGATGCTCTAGAGGCCAAAGTTAATATCCGATTGACTTTAAATTTATACACAGTGTTTAAGGTCATGAGACGAAGAAGTCTATTGATTTTCAGCAATTTCCGATAATTACTGCCAGAGTTATGGCCCCTGATCGCTTCAAAATATCTTGTGGTTGCTCTAGAGGCTAAAGATAATATCCGATTGACTTTAAATTTATACATAGTGTTTAAGAGATGTAGAACTCTATTGATTTTCAGCGATTTTGGATAATTACTGCCAAAGTTATGGCCCTTGATCCCTTCGAAAAATCTTGTGCCACTCTAGAGGCTTATGTTATCATCTGATTGACTTCAGATTGATACACAGTGTTTAAGGTCTTAAGACGAACAAGTATATTGATTTTCATTGAATTTTGATAACTTGAACAACTAAATCCATGATATTAAATATTTCGTATACTAAACGTTAGCATGGGGCAGAACTTTATAAAAACCAAACAAATTCTAATGATTTTCTGATAATTACTTAATGAGTTGTTACTCTTAATCCGATTTTAGTGTATTACAAATGTTTGATTAGGCCTACTGAAAAATGTAAAAACATGCGACAACTCTTGTTGACTGCCCGGACGATTTAGCTGCTGTGGACGTATGTTTCATTGCCTGGCAACCTATCTTTGGATTATTTGAACGAATTCCATAGGGGCTCTGACTGAGGTTATCAAAGATTTGCGAAAGTTTTTTTCAGTGTTTTTTTTTTACATTCAGGATGGTAGGAATAAGGAACATATTGATGCCGTCAAAATTGCATATTAAAGATTCAACCACCATTTTGATTCCAATTTTCGAAAACTTTTTTTTTTTGTTTTGAACCTACTCCAAATGGTAACAATTCTTAGGGAGCCAATTTTTTAATTTCAGTTTTGTTTACTTCTTATTTCACTTTGGATTTTTTTTGTACTTTTGACCTACTATCTGGTTACTTAGCCATGTAACTGACAACTAATATCTAAAAGTTTGATCTTAAAGTAGAACTTCTTGTTTTATTAAAAATTCAAAATGACAGGTTTTTCCACTTTAATAGGTATTGTATATATGTTACTATACTTAATAGTTCATGGTGTAAATTTGATTTTTGATGTGGCCTGAAGTGACCTCACGTACCGAAATACATCAGTACGGCTTGAACGCAGTTATTGTTATAATTGCTATTGGTTCATAAGAGATGGTTGAAGGATGGGCTAAGTGGAAATACACCTACAGTATCTCTATCATCATTCCAAAATTAAGTAATGGCACAGATAATGAATACTAACCTGTTTACTTTATACTGTTGACTATGTGTCAATACACAAAATCTGTACTTATACTTGAAAAATTGACACAGGGACCAGCTTGTAATATTGAATTACATTATGACCCATATAGTACACTGTGCTTATGTGACAGGATGCTCTTGTCGGGAATCCAACCCTGATTCACATGCATCGATTCCATACACCTCAACCGTGTGAGTAATAGGGAATTTTCCATTACCAAGTCGACCAAGTCGTAGGAAGTATACTATAACTCAAGATGACAGAAGAATCATGTCGTCCTCAGCACACCTATATTTACTGATGGGATATTAAGGCCGTTGGGTCTCTTTTCCCTGAAAGAATTAAATATTCTTCAAACATGCATGACTGAACATTGATTGCTTTAAACAAAAAGCGATATTTAATTTAGAGAAGATTAGTGATATACTATTCCATTGAGTAATTGATGCAGTAAGAAGCTTTAGGATCGATTGGTATTCCATGGTTTGTTAGCGCCTTTCACTTAATTAATTGTTAATGGATGAATCCATTGCAGGGGGTAAAGTAGTTGCCGCCCACCCTTTTTTTAAAACAAACTGTTATGTATTCATCTCTTGTGTAACAATTTCCCTTGTTACCTATACATAGTGATGGGTGTTTTGCATGAGGCAGGGTAAGCTTAACCCTTATAGAACACATAATTCCCCTTCCTATTTAAATTTTCATATCTCACAAATTTTGGTTGTTCTATATTGCTTTGTATTTATTGTACATCCTCTTCTTTCAGATCACACACTAAACAAGCTGATTCAATATTTTATGATGATTTAAATAAATCTTATTCTATAATAATCTATGATAAAATCTAGTTTATTTCACAGTGAAAAGCCATTTTTAAAGGGACCATAAGCATGTTAAATGTTTTTATGAAATATACTTTAGGCACGATTTGCTAAGCCAGTTTTACCAGGACAAACCCTTCAAACTGATATGTGGAAAGATGGAAATCGAATTTTCTTCCAAACTAAGGTATGTTATATATAATGACAGATTTCTGTCTTTTATGACAAATATATTAAAGTCTGTGTGCGTCATTGTTTGGACAATATCAGAGTTTCCACTACTTAATTTAAAACTAAATGTAAGGCCTATTTAAATTTAATTATTTAACATTTAATTAAGATAACAATATCAAAATATGAATGGTATATAATCACTTAGCTTGGTTTCAATCGAATTAAAAAGAAGCCATCAGAAGGTATCTGCGAAAGTCTTTGATGCTTTGGCTTGTGTTGTGTTGACTGTATCCTATACATGTGTCCCACTGCAGTGGATGCTCATTGTAAATACGATATTCCCTTTCAAAATTGACAATCGCTCAAATAAAGTTCAAAGACTTTAACTGTGAATAAATAAATATTATATTTACATCTAGGACTAGGTAAATAATATGTCTTATATTAAGGAATAGAATATCCACATTTTCTCTATTTTGTATGAGTGATGCAGAGACACTTTTTATTGGCAAATATTCAAACTAAGGAAAAGTTTAGAAAACAATTTTGACATTGAACAAGCAAATATCTAAATCAAAGCATTGGTTTACCAAAAGGAAAATAAATATTATATTTGATTATGTAGGTTGTCGAGAATAGTAATATATGTATATCTGGAGCATATGTTGATCTAAAAGATACAGTATCTTTCACAGAAACCTTGAAACCAGCAGTAAGTTGTATGTTATTACTTATTCCTCGATTTCCTTAATACACAATTTTTATCCTTCCTAATTTTTACCCCAGACATTGGTAAGATATTCACAACAAACAACTAAAAGTATATATGGATATAACCATTTCTCTTTTATTGAAAATGTGTACATTGTTATTAAATAACAGAAAAAAAGTTATATTCAGATATACCTTTATTTTGTTTGTTGTTAATATGTAATGCTACTTCTAGATGTCATTTAAAGAATTGGCTTTGGCAAGGTGTTTATTAAATTTAACTGTTATGGTCTGTTTGTTTTTGATTACTGCTTGGATGTATCATGTATCAAGTACCCGTGTAATAAATATTTATTGGGGTTGGTGTAAATTGGCTTCCTGTCCTCCATTGAACTCTATCCTCTTCTAGGGTTAATGTGAGTCAGTCTTATCATCCAGTATCTGAATTACTGTGGGGCTGTCAAAGAATTGAGGGACATACATGTACCTACAAGCATGAATATAAAAGAAGTCTTACCCGGGTGGAATATAGATACTCAGAAACATTTCTGTCCTGGCCAAAATTCTCCCGTTTGCATTGCAAACATAGGCTGTGTTAGTCTAAAATTGTTTTTATTTTATTCTGTAGATGTCTACTGGATCTCAACTACAGAGTGATGATGTCTTTGAAAGGTTATCAAAGGAAATTAGCCAGCGTAAAGGGCTAGCGGCAAAGATAAATGCAATTTTTCTATGGAATATAACAAAAGGTGGAAAGCAAGCTTCACAATGGAGTGAGTCAATGTTTGTTTTTTTAGGGAATGTAATGGTGAATGCACATGTTTTTTATATTGGAATCTCTATTGATATATTTTAAAATTTAAACAGGAGACTTTGTATCGTTGTATAGCAAGATACATATTTAATCCGGGTCTTACACTATTGCAACAATATATTTCCCAAATGATTGCTTCTGTGCAGATATTAAGCTAAAAAAAAGGTACAAAGTGTCAATCAAAATTATTTTCAATAGGTTGCAGTTAATGGATGTTTCAATAGGGATGTGACAATAACAACATATTTTCCTGAATTAAAATCTGCAGGGTTTTTTCCTAGGCGAATTGAGCTGAAAAATTCATTTTTTGCAAATTTTTGGACCTAGCACTATTTTTGCAGTCGGGGATCGTCCATTTTCCAAATTTTGTGAAGGAAAATGGCCGCCATATTGGATTTCCGCCATATCGGATTTTAGAAAATGAAAAATTATATTGTATTCATGTTTTTCGACCCTGAAAACAGAAAGAAGGACTCCCAAGAAGGCCTATTCGGAGTTTTTCTAATACAATATCGTGAAAAAATCGAAATTCACCTGAAAATGGCTGCCATTTTGGAAAACGGCCGATCCCTGACCGAAAAAATAGTGCTAGGTCAAAAACTTTGCAAGAAATGAATATTTTAGCTCAATTCGCCTAGGAAAACACCCTGCACATCATTTTGATATATTTTATTCCATCCCTAGTTTCAATCTATATTTTTAAACTTACGTCCTACTGTTCTGCTCCGAATGGGCTAGTAATAAAGACAGGCATGTGCCATACTGTGTGCTATAAGGGAAATTTTGCCCGGACAACGGCACTATGGCCTACTCTTATATCGAATTCCAATTGTCAAGGGATCTTCTATGTGCATGCCAATGTGTACACAGGACAGCTGTCCTTGTCAGGCCCGCCGGCCTGCACCACTGGCAAGGGCAAACCACGCTGGAAACTCCCAATGAACTTTCTCAACCAACACCGTGAGCGAATCTGCGACCTCCAGACTAGTGAGCCAGCGTCTTAACCAATTAGCTGGTTTTCAAAATGGCAACTTTTCCTCCAAGGTTACTAGTTCTTAAAACCCAGGCTAATTTAAGTCTCATTGTTTTGTATGTGTGGAATACATTTAATGTGAGTGGTGTACAGATTCTTGTCAGGAATTAGTAAGTTATTAGTTTGCATATTTATGCGTATATATTGTAGCTGTTGATATGAAGAGTAGTAAATCAGGAGAGATATATCGTGGTGAACCTAAAGGAAAGAAAGCTGACTGTACATTAACAGTTGATGATGGTAATATGGTAGATATAACTACTGGTAAATTACCAGCACCACAGGTATATTATATTGTAATTTCATTATAATTCCATGAACATTACTCCCTGTCATGGTCATCGAGCCTATTGATACAGACTTTTCTGCGAATGAAACATACACAAAACAAACACAAAGAAGGAATATTTCCTATAATTTTATTGAAGTATCAAAGATAATTCAAACATAATTCTAAAACCTAGAATTTAACCGCTGTTGTAATAAGATGGGTAGAATTTTTGCTCTTTATATTAATAATAGCATTATATTATATCTTTAACTAATTATGGGTTCACATACATGTATTGTAGAGAAGTCATATCTCACACACTTAAATTGAATGAGTCATGGGTTGACACATAAAATAAATTATAAAACCAAAACATAGCTGGTTCTGTGTGAAAACAAAATATCGCCAGATCATTTATGGCAGGAAAATTACTATTGCATCATTTGGCTTAGTAACCAATCATTTTAATTAATTACATCATATTAAGGGTAGAAAACCGTTAGAGCTCTGGACGATAGAAATACAGCGGCTAAATTCTTAGAGAGGAAGATGTAGCAAGTTCTGTCAGTAGACTCGCCCTGGCGTGTTTGGAAGCAAGTGGTATTGAAAGAATGGGTTTATTGTAAATCTATGCTTGTAACCTATGTATCCAGTGCTTGATATAAAAGTAGAAACAAAATGTATTGTTATTCCTTTAGCCATAAACTGAGTAAGTGGATAGAAGAAAATACATGTGAATCTTAAGAAGAGAATGAGAAACAAATATAACCAGAGACTATACTGAGGATCACAAGACTATTAAAATATGTAGTACAGGAGAGAGTATGTGTCATACGTCAGCTGTGGGGAGTTTCCCTGTGTACTTTCCACATCTAACCATGCATATCACGCATATGGCTACACTGTTTGTTGCAGGGGGCATATTGTTGCTAAATACAGTTCTTTCACTTTTTTGCAGGCATTCATGACTGGTAAATTAAAGGTCAAAGGTAACATCATGCTTGCTCAAAAACTTGGGCAACTTTTCCAGGAAGCAGCCAAAATGTAAACAAGATTGAACCATTAAATCTATTTTGTTATATTTATCTGTAAATTATTTAAGCATTTAATTTTGTCTTATAAAACTTTATAAATATGCCTCTAAAATTAGTTAATTATATAAAATTATTTTCTTTAAATTCTGAGCTAAATTATAAAAGACACCATATTTTGGGTCTTTATGTTTACAAACTAATGGTGATTAAAAATACATGGTGTATTTTAGTCCAAATAAATTTCTACATAAAAATGATAATTAAAGGGTTGCAACCAATAAAACTTGTATAAATCATTTCTACTTAGTTATACCCTTATTATGTAATATGTTTAATAAACCTTTTCATTAATTCATAAATGTAATAAAGCTTTAAAATAATTATATATCATTGAAAAATTGAATAAATTCTTTGAAACAGTAATGTGATAATTACAACAAAACCAGTTACAAATTTGATGTACTAACTGTGAAATATAAAAATTATTAATGTTTTTTTAATGTGATGAATTGTTTGTTAATGTAATCCATTAAGGTGATGACTGTTTTAGTATGTAATACATTAATACATGCAGTTTATAATTTTATAAGAATACTAAATGTTATTGCTCACAATTATAGACATAAAATTTCATATAATTGGTGTATGGTCTTTTTTGTGGCAATTATGTGGACAGGGGGCAATGGGGGGTGTGTGTCAAAAAGGCCCTGGATATATGATGCAGCCATGATTATTATCATTATTCGCCCTGTCCATAGGGCCACCTTTACTTGTATTAACTGTAAGTACCGTATAAAGTTATAGTTTTGACTGATTTTACTCAAATCTACCAAGGTAGAATAGTGAAGATAGTACCGGTCCCTGTTGTATTTTGAAATATTTGTTCTATTCAACAGAATTCATTTCTTCACTGATCCCGTCTTCATTAGCCCCGTCTGAGCAGAACAGTAAAACGTTAAACCCCATTTCATTTCTTTACGAAAAACTTTGGACTAGTGTATAAGGGTATTTGTCTTCGTATATTAGGGTATTTGTCATTGCACTATTTCACAAAAGTAAGTTAAAAGTAAATTAAATATAGATAGAAACACAAATCACAGATTAATGAGTAGTTTAACAATAGAATAGCACTAGTAATCCAAATGGGGACATCTCACTGTCCCCACATCTATTGTTCAGAATCTGGGTCCACCAGGCCATGACTAATTAATTAACAAAGGGGACTAATTAATTAACAAAGGGGATTTAAAGTATAGTAAAAAGTTTGTGACACTTCAACAAAATGATTTAAACAATATTTAGTGAAAAAGATTACATGTAAAAAATACATATAATATGGATTCTTATATTAAACCCCATATCCAGCATATTAATAATATACAAATTAATACATATATAATATAATAAATATATACATGTAATAAGTAATAATAAGTGCATTGTTAGATTTTAAAGTAAATTTCAATAATATACAAATACGTAATACGCAGTAAGTGCATATATTAACATGCATAAATAAATACATTTTATACGCCCACATTTTCATGAGGATGTATATTGTCGTTGCCCCTGTCCGTCCGTCCACAATTTGTTTGTGGACACTCTACAGGTCATAACTTTTATTCGATTTTGACGAAACTCAAAATATAGGTCTATCTCCCAAAGATCTCGGTTCCAATCGATATTGGCATATATATCGGACCATAACTTCATGGATTATAGCCCCTGATTGTACGAAAAATCACGTTTTTAGCTTGTGGACACTCAAGAGGTCTTGAAACTTGAAATGCATGTTTATAACCTAAAGATCTTGTTGTTGTTTATACGTACAATACATTAATTATGATATTATGGACAGGTTAATTTAATTAAATTATTTACACTTTATGGGTTGAAAATTACTAAAAACGTAAAATAAAAAAGCCCATGTATATCAAAAGTCACCTTAATATTGGTAAAATTTAAAAAAAATTGTATATCAAAAACCCACTTTAAAACACACTCACAAAATCACTGTCGTGAGAAGAAAGAGTGCAGTCATATTGTCCCTTTGTCATAATAAAAACAGGTTAATACAGGAGGTCCAGCTGACCAATGTTTGGCGTCATCAGTGCGAATAGAAAAAAAAACGCAGGGAAAAAGAATCCCCTTGCCGTATGTGGAAAAGCAAAGTGCCTGCGGTAAAAACTACATAACTGGACTCGTGGATTATTTACATATTAAAGACTATTCGTTCAAGGTCATCTCAAAGGTTCAAGGTCAAGACATAAGGGCCGACCCCGACGCGTCAGGCTCCCCGGGAATTAAAAGGTCACGCCACTCGATGGATAATTTATTTACCTTTATATGTGACCTTGACCTTTGATCTGCCTTTCACCTTGGGGTCAAACAACCCCCAAACCTCATGCACCATCTAGGCTTTAGTCGAAAAGTTTATGGTCAAGGTCATGCTATCTAAGTTGGGTCAAGGGGCTGTTACGCCCAAGAAATGACATTTGGTCAAATTTGCTATATGAAGATGAAAAACCTGAAAAACACGTGCAAACACAAACTCGTTAGGTCAATCGATGCAAGTTTGCTTAAACTGAACACGCACACGTAACTTGAACTGGAAAAACAAATTAAAATTGTTATTTTCATCTTTGTTAGAAAATGCAGAGCCTTTCAAATGTAGAACGTCTACGTGCTATAGGTAGGCTCTATGCTGGTCATTCTGTGGTCACTGTTGCAAGAGCCTTTAATTGTTCACGCCAGACAATAATTAATCTTAGAATGAGAGTGCTTCAAACTGGAACTATTGCCGACCACCCAAGGGCGGGAGCGCCACGTGTGACGTCACTCCAGGAAGATTAAGCAATACGATTACGTCATCTTAGAAACAGATTTGTCACTGCAACCTCCACAAGTAGAGAGATGTTTGGTGGAAGGGTAACTGCACAAACTGTTCGAAATCACTTGCAGGCTGCTGGTCTTCGAGCTCGGGGGCCCTATAATGGACCAATATTGACACCTCTTCATCGCCGTAACCGACTTGTGTGGGCCATCACTTAGCCCCGACCTTAAAGGAGCTAAATCGCTAACATTTGGGACCTAGAAATTGACAAAAGTGGGTCGCAACGCATATAATACTGTAATATGAATGTGTATAAACTGATTTACATTCAATGGTTTCCGTTTTTACTCCAATTTCAAATCAGTTATGTTCGGCGAAATAAGCCAGCAGTCTCAATCAAGTGCAAATTTCTAGCGTCTGGTTATTCCAGTCTTCATACGCCGTTCGATTTGGTGCAATGTGTCTAGCCTCGTCCCTCGAGTCTCTTTTTACAACTGGGATCGAAACGCATTATGGTACACGACTCGTGTACCAATGGTAAAATGTTTATTTTGTCTTAAATATTGGATATCAAAAGCCCATCTTTTACCGGTAAGACCACAACATCAATGTTGATTTAATTTGACAAATAAACCTTGTGTTCAATGTTGAAGATTTTGGTTGATATTGATTTAGAGACTTAGCTACTTTAATCCTATTGAACACATCTGAGACGAACTGGGTCGACGTGTTCGTCAGCAAGTGAATCCACCACTGACGTTGCAGGACCTTCAACATGCTCTTGTTGAGCAGTGGCGACGTCTTCCTCCGGTAGTGTTTACTAATGTTCTGAGATGCACGAGAAGACGTTGTGTGGCAGTACGAGACGCTAGAGGAGACCACAACCGTTACTAAACACTATTCCGATTGTTCTCCAAGTCTGAATTTCATTTTGGGGGGTACTGTGACATCACGAACGTTATCAATGTCAAGGACTTTCGGCGAGATATATTCTTGCTTTCTGTTGATGTCAAGGCCGTCTGTGCACAACATAACACTAAAATAGTTGCCTTAAACCAAATATTAAAAATCTAGCCCCAAAAATCCAGAGTGTCAAGTTTTTAATTTGGCTGAGTATATAATATAGGGTGATTCTCTCAAAATTCCAGCTTCCTAGTTCAAAAATTAAGCAAAAAGGTCAGTGCTGATATGTCGCAGAGCAGAAATGATATTTGACCTTTGCACGTGCGCAATGCTGGAACCAATGATGCCATGACTACCAATTAAAAACTCTGGCTACAAACTTGTCACGGCACTGCCAAAGTACCATGACAATTGCAAGGGGATACCTCCTTTCCTTCAAGACGTTTTTTCTTGACACTGCCGGGGGATTGGATGGCTGAATGGTTAGCGTGCGCGCGCTGTATCATAAAGTCTGTCATTGAGTCAACTGGCGTGGTTTCGAATCCCCGTTTGTACGTGACAAGGAGTAGGGTCGCCTGTCCAACCTCGTGGGTTTCCTCCCACTGCTAACGACATGCGCAAGCGAATTATTGAAATAAAATTAAACCATATGTTAGTCCCGAAATGACCTAGTTTGTGTCGAGTGGACGTTAAACCCCATTTCTCTCTCTTCTTGACACTGCCATCTAAAATTGGTCACGTGACGCCATTTCCGCCATTTAGAATTATACAGACCCATTCTTTTGCTTAAATAAAGAAAACAACACTCAATATTCTTACTTTTTTATTACAAAAGGATCCTGAATAGTTCTAAAAACTGTCATCAAAATTAGAAAGTGGTAGCGTTTGGAATTCTTAAAATATATAAGCAAATAGGCAATAGTTCCACGGGAAGTCTGTATGTTAGTCAAACAACAGGTTTATTTTTGTCCAACATGACGTCACAAGGTGATGTTACGGAAGACTTCCCGGGGTAGATTTAGTTCGAGAATATCCAACCTTAATGGGTCCCACCCGTGAGCTCTTATGGGCGTTTGGGGAAAGCAGACCTAATCGAAAGTCAGTCGATCGTGCACGGTGAACGTGTTCCTAAAAAGGGTGCAATTTTCAAGGATGACAAGTAACCTCCAAGCAAAGATCACCCATGGTCATGTTCCAGGAGCGGTGACGGCCCCGTGACAGACCTTCTGACCCATGACCTTGACCCATTTGGCTAAAGTTTAGATGGTACATGAAGTTTTGGGAGTTTTTCGACACAAAAGTCAAGGTCAATGAAGTGTTCATCCCAAGGCCAGGACCTTTGTTTTGCAACGCGGGCCCGGGGACGCACCAGGTGCTCCGGAGCACCATAGTCGGTAGATATATCGGAAGGTCAAGGGGACAAAAACGGAAATATTTCCGGGGCCCATAGCGGGTCATGGTCGCGACGTTTGGTGGGCGGTTTTAAAAAAAAATGAAGAGCAAATGTGGGGTCGGTCTACCAGTCACCAAATCCCGGGCCCATCTGAAGACACTTTTTGTTTTTGGGCAATTTCCTGAGGACAGTCGGCTTAGTTTTAACTGGTGTGATCCATGGGAAGATAACTCGGCCATCCCGAACCGGATCCGACCTTGAGGTCGCGACCTCTTAAACTAAATCGACCCCTGCGAGTCACATGGTGACCTTGTTTTGGCCCCCATAGGCCAAGGTCTAGGTCAAATGACAATTATGCTTCATTTTGACCCACTTCTGGTCGGCGCAGAAAAATTGCAAGGGAGCGACGCGCATAAGGGTAGTTTTACCCTTTGCCATCCATATATATACGTCTTTAACAGCGTTGATACAGTTTTTTATTAAAAGGGGATAGTAAAAGTTTTGTTTTATCTGGATTGAACTTCAGATCAAAGTCTTTAGAAAGTTGACTTGCTATGTCTAGCAGTTTGGGAGCGGGGTGGGTAGCCGCGAGGACTAATTCCCCGGAAGAAGTGAACAAATTAGAAAAAATAATGATTGAAATAGGACCTTTTGGGGCACCGGGGGACCAAGAGACCGTGGTTGGGGGCTTTGAACTAGTGATACGCTAAAAAAAAGTTTCATCTAAATCGGATAAAATTGTGACCTCTAGATGGTCCACAACCTGGGTATTACATGATTTTATAATATTATTTTCGAAAAGTGGAGTGGCTATTTGACGGGGAAGTTTCGGTCCGATTTTGCGGAATTAATTATTGTGTAACGGTGATATATTTGAAGAGTTTTGAAAATAAGATACAAATTATGACCTCTAGAGGGCCCGTAAACTAAAAACGTGATATTTCCTACAATCAGGGGATCAGAATCCAGAAAGTTACGGTCCAATACGAGCCAATATCGAAGAAACCCAGATCTTTGGGATATAAATATATATTTTAAATTTCATCAAAATTGGATAAAAAATTCGAACCGCTGGATGGTCTACAACCTGGGTATTACGATCATATCCAAATGTTAAAGCTACTGGCAGATTTCGTCATGGTCACGACATGTAAACAGGGTTAGGGCAAGTGATTGTTGCAGAGGATTGTGAG